ACATCTGACAATGAATCACATAAAATTACTAAATTAATGACATTCGTTAATATACAATATATAATAAAACTAAAAAAAATAAGAGGGTTTCCACACACAGATGTAACGTACAACAGACATCTAGTGGTACATATACGTGAGGTTAGAACCGTCTTTCAATACTGTGTCCTATCGAAAACAAATTATAAAATTTGAATTAACTTTATAATTGAAATATTAAGCCAAAAAATGCAACTTTTACTCAAGGAAATAGGATTATCCCAGAATTTATATTATCCCAATTAAAAATATTACTTTTCTTATATGGATTATCATATCAAAAACTAATATTTTAAACGGGTACTTACGTTAAATTCTAAGGTCTACCACGACTGAAAGTACCAAGACCCAAGAACACGTCCGGTCGTTACGACCGCGCTGACTAACACTGCCCAGCTCGCGCCAAAACTAACTTAAACAATGACCACAAATAAAAATAGCCAATCACGTGACCTAGCCAAACAGGTTTACACTACACCACGTGACTCTTATATACGACACTCACTAGCATACTCACTCACAATGCGCGGGATAAAAATTCAAATGGATCGAACGGCAAACGGACGCGTATAAAAATAGATGAAATATAAACATTATAATATTGTAAATATAATAAAATACACGATAAAATCAACACTATCACAAGTGTATGAAAATTGAAAGTGAGTGCTAGGGAGTACGATAATCACCAGTTATTTTGTAATATTTATGTCTTTGCATAGATGTTTGGAAAATAAAAGAGAAGCAAAAAAATAAAAGTAAGCGGATGTTATTTTATCATTTCAATTTTCATTCTTTTTTCAGTCGCTCCTGAAAAACATTCTGATGGTATCTGGGAAGATTTTATAGAAGAGTTACAAAACATTGATTTTACATACGAACGTCAACAAGAGGACGGTATGTTAAAATATAAATGCACATCACACCAGTTATCACGATTTCGTTTCCATTCTTTCTAATTCATGGCACTTTGGAAGATTTCCTTGTTAATGAGCTAAGCTTCATGTTTTTAAATTTGCTTGACAGTGTTTAAATTACTTATCTTTTCTGATAGATTTGATATCAGTTTTCCTTTATACATAGATATAACTATTACACAATAATTCCCATGCCATTTTCAATTTGTATCTTTATTTTTAAATAAACACATTTCAGGAAGAAGCAAATCGAAACAAAAGAAAAAGAAAGACAGAAGGCAAAAAAAAATACAAGGTAAGACGATTGAGCATTTTAGCGAGCAACTTTTGTCTATCTGTCCACAGTAGAAATGCAGTTCATACTTTAACATTCTAACCAGGTATTCTATTTATCCTGCAAAATATATTCATAATTGAAAGTATCCAAACAGTTTGTTAAGACTATCCTATCATTGTTTTAATGACGGCGCCGTAACGCTGAATTACGCCTGATTGTGCACGTCAAAGAAGTAGCTCCGCGTGTAGATATAGTTTCAAATTTCAATGGATAGAAAACACAATTTCATTAATTTTTATAAATAAGTCTGTTTGTTACTACACAAGCAAAAACGCCCATTTCAACATTTAATTGTATTTCGAATAAGACATTAGTAAATAAAAAATTAAATCTCGAATTAATGCACGTGATAAAAATATAGATTATTTCTGTCACTGCTAAGTACAGCATAAATATATGTGGTAGCTGTATCCCGGCAACGGCAGCAGCATTTGCAATTTATCATTCACGTGATTTTCATTCATTTATCATTCGTCATGACTATGTTTGTTACTTTGTATTCATATCAAATAGACAAATGTAAAGGCCTTTAATAATAATAATGATAATAGTTATTATATAAAATGAATTTTAGAGATTATGACTCATATATGGAACTTTCTTATTTCTGGTATTAGAGTACGTGAAGTACACTTCTGATCAGTTTTGACATGGTATCTTGACATTCATATAATATAATGATTTGAAATACAGTGACATTTGTAGATAAACGTGATCATGAAACAGTGTAGAGTGGATAGGAAATCGTTGACATTATAAAAAACACGAAAATAATAATTTTTACAGTTAATAAATGGTTTGTGGTTTAACCGTTAGGATTTGCTAGATTGCAGTAAGATGACGATTATTTCATTTTGTCGGTAGCATTGACCAATGTTCATTCATTTTTTATTGAGAATGTACTGTAAACAAGATGCCCCTACTGAATTGACTATACCATAGACACAAAAGTGGACATCAACTATCATAATAAGTAAACTGAAATAAAACAACAAATTAAACTGCAAAATACAGATTTTCGTCCTTTCCGGACTCGTCATTGATGCTATATGATACAGAGTAATCTACGTTGCATTTGCGTAAATCAACAAGGCAATAGATATGAACATAATCTAAACCAAACTCCGTTTATATTGTGGCAAAACATGAACAAAAGAGAGATTAACAAAGGGACTCATGAAAAAGTACAAAGAAAATAAGACCATGTGTTAAGGAAATATAAACGCCTTCTGCTTAATCGAATACACCAGCGATGTAAGTGTTGATTAATACATGTAAAGTATTTTAGGTTCAAATAAGAACAAGGTAAACAACAAAGTAACAGGAAAACAAAGGAGCATCAAAAACATCAGCTTGCATCTGATGAAGACCTTTGTTGTGCGTTTGTCGGTCGGATAACACATCTTGCATGAAACAAACCGTTGAATAAAGGTTTTACTGCGACGTGTAAACACCATATAATGAGGACGCAGGGAAGTTGCTGTTCAGAAATGGAAAATTTACAACAGGAAAATTGAAATCATCAGACTTATCACACAGCTTAGTGGAAAACTGTCCGTGTTGGCTTTTGTTGTAGGAAAGAGTGATATATACGGCTGATGTAGAACAGTATCGTCACGACCGTGGTCATAAAATATATTTTTATCTAAGAACAAGGCGTTACCGGTATATCTGAAATTGAATATGAAGGACTTTGCAGAGTCTTTTTGACCTGTTTTGAATAGCTCTTTGATAAGTTCAGCTTTGTATAAAAACAAAACCACGTGAGGTGCACGGTTATATCCCAGGTATGTCAATAGTTTGTTGAAGGATCCTGACAGCAAACTCGACGAAATATTGTCAGTCAGAAACCCCTAATGTTTCTACTGTAACTTAGACATATTTGTCACGAAATACGTTTTGGTATGGTTCACTTTCCTTGGAAAAAACTCTCAAAACAGCAGAACGAAAACGTTCTTTTATACTAGTATGTGGCATGATTGTGTACAGAGTTAAAACTTATTGTGTAGAATGTTAAAATACTTTCAAAGAAGGAAGCTTTTCAGAAGACGACATTGAAGATTGGTCAAAATATTTTTGGATGTCTTTTATATCCATATACTAGCAATTCCAACTCTTGAACAATCAGTATCCCATTAAAACTGTAGTCCAAATTCGATAGTAATAAGAATAGTAGTAGAAGTAGGAAATTTGGGCAAAGGTTTATTCGAATAATTCTGTGAATTGGCAATACACACTTATGATAAAGATTACTGTGAAGTTGTAAATCCAATATAAGCTGAGGAGGCCGGATCCTTAATGGGTAATTCAAATTATTTGAATACTGAAGCAGAATTAGCCAGTATTATTCTTTTCAATATTGTATAATGTATAGGAGGGATTTCCCTCACTATCAAGCAAACCTAGTTCTATTGTATGCACGAAAAAAAAGCATCTGCGAACAAGGATCAAAATATTGGGCGCCTTGTCCGGAGGCACAATATAAGATCTGTCACGTAAATTTTTAAAGTCTGGATTTAGCATTAGGCACCAGGAACACTGAACTGTGTTTTGCTTTCATTTTATTTACAGACGTAACTTTGATAAATTGGCGAGTTAATCCCTTAGCCTTGATAACGTGGTACTGGGTTGTGGAATTAGTATCCATTTATATGTACTGCGTAGCAACATTAAACGTAATAAGGAATGTAATCGGCGGAGGCAAACGAGATCACATATTGATCTTTGTCAAAAGTTCAGAAACTAGACACATTTAACATGATTTCGAACTCGTCTTGTGCTTACAGATACCGGTCACTCGACGAACATTTATATGCCCGGAGGAACTTTGGTTGTTGGAGACAACAATGTGGTGATAAAAAGTGATGAAAAACCGTCATCTGCAGGTAGCGTCATTAAAGGCCTAAGGAAGAGTAGAGATAAAAATCAATAATGCTGTATCATATAGCTGTTTCGTTCTTCTAGGACTCGTCAGTAATACCAAGGCCTTTAGGATTGATACCTAGGTCGAATGAAATGTCAACATGTAGGCGATGAAAAGCAGTTGATCCCGAATTATATAGTTTTCGTTAAGGCCAATCATTCTATATTAATAATAATGAAATTTATTTAAACTCAGGCAGGTCAGTGCATCTCCCAGTATGATTTGTGATATATAATTCGATCAAATTTTATTTTCCTCGGACGCCCCCTAGACTTGCAAAATATGCCTTCAATATCACGTGTGAGTCCTAAAACAGTGAAATGGACACACGGTGCTGTTTAATCCATTATCTGGATGTTATTTATCAATCAAAATGTGTGCAGATATGTGGTTTTTACGTTTATCTTCTCTCCAATCTTATTTACGAGTGTTTACGAGAATTTTTCTGCTGTTTTAGTCTTCAAAACCCAAATGTTTCGTAATATGACCATTAGTATTACTATACAAATTTACAAATGGCGCCGATACAAAAAAGGAAATAAACCCATCATTTGTAATGTCCATGAGTATAATTCGCAAATGAATCAAAATATGGTTATATGAAAACATAGTGCAGGTATTTTTTGAACAAAGGTTTAAATAGACTTACTGAAATTATATTATTGAAATGCTTCACGACGGTTATCACCTTTTGTATAATGCAGGTAACGACAATCTAAGGAGTAAGCTTCATGATATTATGCAACGAAATGGAGCTGTTGGAGGAGACAAAAAGAGAAACACCATGAAACTACAGACGCTTGAATCGTGTTATCGTAAAAGGTATGGTGAGAGTTTTCAAAAAGAAAAAGAAATAACATTGTTAAAATTCCTTGAACAAGCTCCCGATATTTTCATTTTAACACAAGCAGCCAGTCAATGGTACGTCCACATGAAAGCACCTAAACCTTGTTCCCAAACTCAGGAATCTAATGAGAGTTTTGAAACAACACCGCAGAGTAATTCCACAGATACTGGCACAAACAAATCAGCTAAAAAAGGCCCGAAACAAGATCAAAATACATCAAATGTTCACCCTTTAACACGCCCAAAGTTAGCTTTTAAAGAGGAAAGAGAACACACTCCAAACAAATGTTCAGAATTTAAAGACTTCTTGGAATTTGTGAAACATTTTCGGGAAGGAAGAAATTTGCTTTTGATTTCAAAAATGGATTATAAAAAACACGTAGACTCTCTTGCAAATATCAATTGGTGCTGTGTTTTTGATTTTGATGTTAATAGTCGTGAAAATGGATTATTCTCAAGAGTTGAAGATGTATTCAGGAGAAATTGGAGTGTACTTTACCCTCGCACTTGGACTGAACCCCCTAATATTCCAAAAATCGGGACAGAGTGGTGTTTCATTTCAGGGGTAACAGACGAACCCGAAAGTAAAACACCAGACGAGTTCAAAATGTGGTACCCACATATAAAATCCAAGTTTGAGAAACATATCAACCAGATTATCAATATGCTAGATACTGTAGAACTATTAACTGTTGTTGCATTTTGGCCAGATGATACCGTAACAGGTATGAAATTTCAAAAGATTATTTCTGTGCTAAATGAGTCCATTAGCCCTCCACCTAAAGTTGTCGTCGTTGGTAATCCGTCAGATGTAGACAGTACCCTCATTAAAATGATTTCTCCAGATTATTTCCTTACAGAAAAATTTGAGCACGTATATCATGATTTGGCAACAAATCTTGGTCCACAACAGCAACCGGAGGCATTTAAATACAGATTACCAACAGATGACGGATGCAACAACACACAAATCGATGATATCAAAGCAGCCTCTTTCAGGGAAAATATGGACATTCTATATCTTGACAATCCATATCCAAACAGCTTCGATCTTTCTGCGTCCGAGGAGGAAGAAAAACTCTTTTTTAAAGGCGGTACCTTAAGTTGGCAATTATACTATAAAAACGGTCCAAAGCACTTTTACGCTCCGAGAGATCTCTTTTCAACTATCAAACAAGACATAAGTGTGAATTTCATTGCTAAATCTGAACCAGGATGCATCAAAGTATTCCATGCCCCTGGAGCAGGGGGAACTACTCTAGGTCAAAATCTGATTTGGAAATTACATAAAATCACACCATGTATTCAGATAAGAACAGAATCTTTCGCAAAACCTGGAGACATCTCTCAAAATATTTCTGACCTTTACAAAGAAACCCATTGCCCTATCGTCGTTCTGTGCGATGAAACAGACGACAACACCTTTCAACAGATTCAACAGCAAGTGAATCACGATATTGTAGTTTTCATACATTTAAAACGTGTTTCTGAGATCAAAGGTGACCTCGGAAAAAACGAGTATTTTCTAAAAGGGCATTTGTCTCCTGAGGAAGCTTGTCGTATAGGACCGACATTTTTGCGGCATTGTAATGATGATATCAGGAAGAAGGACCAGCTCCAAACGCTTGTTGATGAGGTTAAAAAGGGGATTAATCATCACCTTATCGAATTCGGCTTAGTCATACATCTTGAGGAGTTCAGGGGAGTGACTTCGTATGTTTCTGAGTACTTAAAAGATGGGAAAACCAGGAGTGAGTTAAGTAAAGCGCAGAGAGTTCTGGGTTATCTGTCACTAGTTCATTTTTTTGGCGAAGGAATCATGCCTTGCCAGATGTTTGGAACAGTTTTGGGAAAGTCTGCAGATTACAAGTTAACATATGAGGGTTTTCCAAGTATCATAAAAGAATTCACAGTGCCTGTTGGGTCAGGATCAAACAGCAATAAAATGAGGATCTGTCATTTTTTGATAGCAGGGGAAATCTTAGAACAGCTTTTATCAAAACATTCCGTTGAACGTTTTGGCTCTGATTTGAGTCATTTGGCTAAATCCCACCTGCATACATTTGTTCTAGAGTTCATAAACGATTTGAAAAGTCGTCAAGAGCAAATACATCACAAGTCCAAAACAGTCCTTAATATTGTAATACAGACTTTCATTTATCGTGAAGAAGCTGATGACACTCAGCAAAGAAAGAGACGCTTTTCACGACTGATAGAAAGTATACCATCAGAGCCACCTTTTTTTGAACGTCTTCAGGTTATTGAAACTCTAGCAGATTCATTTCCTAGTAGTCCACTTCTGTGGGCACACCTCGGGAGAGCATATTCTTTGCTTTGCCCTACAAAACATAAGAAAACTGAACAGTATTTTGAAAAAGCAATAGCGTGTTGCCAAGCTGGAGAAGTTCAATTTGATTCCGGAACGGACGATCACAACGTTGAGCTGAGCTTCGTGTATCACATGTACGGAATGTTCTACTTGCGACAGATTCAAGCAAATATATCAAACTGTCGCAAAACACATCATTCTGAAATGGAATTTCAGAGAGCAGTTGTTACTATACTAACTTTAGCAAAATTAGCATGTGAAGCATTTTCAGAATGCCGTCGATGTGGTGTTGCAGGTTCTCGAGAGTCATTAGGGTGTACAGGAGACATGAACGTACGTTTGTGCATTTGTGAGTTACTTAAAAGCCATTATAAATTTGGAACAACCAAAGACCTTCATGAGAGTTCTAAAAACTCTCAGATTACTGATTATGTCGTGGAAAGCATTACACAAATTCAGCAACTAATCATGAAATGTTTTAACATTGTTGACTTTTCTCGAATTCACAGAGAATTTAACCGGAATGTCGCACGGTATCAAGCGCTATTCAGCGGTATGTCCCCACCAAACTACATAGATACCATCACTATCCCTGAATCATTCGATACTAGATATCAAAAAATTGCAGGAATTAAACTGAAATACGGAAAGGGGGATATGTTTGGAACGGTCAGTGATATCAAGGAAGAAAGAGATATCAAACAAGCTTTATCACTTATAGAACAAAACATCGAGGACATCAAGAGAAGTTCAAAACATTCCAATATGGATATTGATTTTTCGTTCCTAGACTGGATTTATGCAATTCGTCATCCTCAGCAAAGAAAATTTTATTCGTTGGAAGATGTCTTGACTAATGTCCGTTTCTGGAACGAACGACTGAAAAGTCCTTACTCTCATTTCTACCTCCTCGTTCTATTGTTTGCAGTAGCGCTTGATCCAAACAAACCTTTTGATAAAGAAATTCTAAAACAGGCAATGGATATCAAGAAAGAAGCAATCGATGTGAAAAAGATTGGAAAACAGGTAAATACTCCTTTCCATCCGAGAGAATGGTTAGGAAAAGAACATGGAATCAGGTGTCTGATACAGGGATACACCTTCGATAGCAATATCGATCGAATGACGCATACAGATGAGGAAAGAAGCTTCGTCCTTGCTGTCTTCAAAGGAACGATCAAACCACCAAACAATCTTCGACAATACGGTTCCATCAAAATGTCTGTGGAGGGTAATGTTAACGTTCCATTTCATGTCTCCTTCTGCCCATTTAAAACAAATGAAAAGCTTATTGGAGAAAAATATGCAGGATCTCGAGTCGAGTTCGTTCTCGCATTCACACTGCGTTCAGGTCTTAATGCATACAACGTGAAACTGCTGAAGAAATCTACATGCAAAACGTGCGGTGAGAAGGTAGAGATTGTAAGTGTACAAAAATATGAAATATGCACTTGCAAAAACAAAGTTGAAAACCAGTTCGCGTTTTCGAAACAAACTCTCAACGAGAGAAGTTATGAACATGGAGACCTAGATGAGTATCAATAAGTTTGAGCATATGTTCAGATTCTCGCTAGGATTTGCAAATTGCTACTTATATTGTTTGAATAGACAGTCTTATAAATATTAATTGGGTTCATGTAGCCATGTTGCAGGTAGCTGGTTATGCAAATTAGAGAGCCTTGGAAGGCAAAACAAAAAACATGAAATATGGAGTTTTATAGGAGGCATTATTAAAGCATTGGGATTATGTAAATGGACTTGATATGAGCTTGTATGGCGTTTTTTTCCGGAAGTTAGCCAATCCCTTGATGTCAACACTCAATTATTATAAAATGTATCTTGCTTCGCATTTCCAGAATTTGATTGTTTCGCTTGGAAGTTCTTTGAGGGAACACGAGTTGAATCAAGAACATTTTATTATGAAGAGATTTTCGCGAAACAAATGGTGTACGACCCAGTGGAACCCCCTCTCGTGATATTTCAGATGTATTAATACAATTGATGTGTATCTTGGAGCAGCTTCTGTGTTTACATTCGACGAAAGAATCATGAACGTTAGTAGCACGTTTCAAATGTATTTTTGTTCATCATCTTCTATAGAATTTTCTGATAAAGGACATCATACCAAGTGACAGTTGAAAATATTACATGTAGTTGACAGAGTGGATGAAGACTTTAGCCAAGATTTGTTCATTTATATGTCTTGACATTCAGATATTATCCACCTATTAGCCTAGTTGAACCGCAAAATAATTCCATTGGAGTAAATTCATGATCGTTCCCTCCGGCGGACAATTCGATGTCAGATCATGCCATGTCGTTATGAAAAATTTCCTGAATATTAAATATAGTTGCCATGTTCGGGCTAGCGTCAGAACGATTGTCATGGCAACGTTTTTGCTATTCTTGAGTATGACGGTGGCCATAAAAATATCTAATAAAATGCGCTACAGAACATACAGAACAACCATTTTAGAATATAGATTTATCTGTTTATTCTAAACGTCAACAAGCATTTCCTGAGTTTGGGAACATTTGAATATTGTTGTACATAGTCACATGTATACTAGTTTTTGATTTGTTGATTTATTTATTTAATTTTTTTTTTTTTTTTTTTGCATATTTCTTACTTCTTTTGTGTTACTCTGTACACTATTGCTCAGCATTGGCAATATCCAGGTTATTTCATTCGGATATATAGGTATATGTTTATGTATATTATAATAAACAACGTTGTTTTTAGATTGTTTATGTAAACGGTAACAAATGTATATATTTCTTACTTTTAACATGGTTACTTTTCATTGTTAGTATTATCTTGTTTACCTTTGGATTGGCTGATATTTTTTATAATAGAATGAGGATATGTCATCTGAGGTCACGTTGACATAATTTTCCATGCTTCCATACAACGATGTTACATATCTCCTATTTCGAATGTGAATGATAAAATTGATCACTGGCTTCCGAATGTCTGGAAAGTCTCGTGTGAAAAATACCATATAGATATATAAACAAAAGTATAAGACACGCAATTAAGTTTCAGTGAAAACTAATCTCGGTTCATATTACATGTTTTACACAATAAACAATAAAAAAGTTTGTAATGGGCTTTGTTAATACTGAATACGGATGATCCAATTCCAATATGGTCAGTAACAAATCTGTTTATAGCTATTTAAAACCTTTTAAAACAGTTTGACAAAATCACAATGGGATCTATTTAAGGTACTTTTTAACTTCCATACATCAGTGTATGTTGGCAAGCAGTTGTTTTGATAAGGATGTAACACTATTTCCTCATATTGACAAGTGTGTCACTTGTTCATGTATTAAATGATCCGAAAATAACACGATATGAAGAATACGTCTGCTTGCTTTCATGTTCAGCATTTAAATACAAAACCTTATATTTTCAGGATACATTGGATAAGATAGCATGTATACCAGTAAATATTATGGAAATCTTTATGCAATGTATTTACTCGAAAAAAGCAAATGGCGACGTATGCTTCATCAAAAATAATATTTCGTTTTTGTTTAACTTACGTGTTAAGATATTATTATGGTATTTGCATTTTCTACACGTTGATTATGAAGTAATTATTTGTGAGGCGTTAATTTACGAAAAAGGGGATGATAAGCTTAAGTTTGCTTGCGTTATATCATTTATGATAATATAACGCTGCCACTGTCACATTACATCTGCCACATGTATTTGATGTAATTGGCAATGACGTGATACACCTGCATTTCAGTATATGCATTAGTTTAGAACTTTGATTTTGATTTACTTGTATATTAATATAAGAAAACAAAATAGGAAATGTTGAGATGATGTTCTTTTATCTGCTGTAATAAATGTATTCATTTCGAAAATTCATAAAATTGTTGTTAAGTCCGTTTAAATTACAAACGCTATTTCTGCACGCGGAGCAATTATTTTGGCATAAAATCCAGCGTAATGCGAACGTCAGGTAAACTGATTGACCAACAAATTGTTGGAATTTCAATCGTCTAAATTTTCAGTGTCGCAGGATAAAATAGAATATATGGTCAGAGGATCACCCTTTTCGGCTTTCTTCACCATCGCTAAAATGCAGTTTATATTTTAAGACACTGACCTTCTATTTTCCATGTTCGATTCCAAATCGTACACAGTCCAGTGAATAGAAATTGTGATCTTATTAAAAACGATGTGATCTTGGATGTGTTGTATCTGTCAATCGCTTTTATCATTACATCATATATGATAAGTCCAGCTTAGTACAAGACAAACATTTCGATACAAAAAAAAATATATATTTTTTTTTGTATTCATATACGTACTTTTTGCAGCTATACTATATAAGTGTGTATCCTGATAATCTGATATTTTGGTTTGTTGTATAGGCATTGTATGGCCATTAGCATAAACATTCGGATTAAGTCCTTAATAGTAAGTAGACATTTCTTTAAAATTTCAATTAGTAATAGAGTGTTTGAGCTTTTGTACACAATTTAAGAGAACAGTAGAGAAACTTGGTACACCTATACTTAACATTCATGAGGTTGTAGAAAGTCGATCTGTAGTGGATACATAATATAATAGCATAAAACATTGTTGTTTTGTGTTGTTGTGATTTTTTTTATTTGTATGTTAGATGGTTGTTTCCAAAATGTATGATAGAAAGAATATTATATTTGGATATCGCATCCTTTATAAGCCCTTAAAATCGTTATTGCGGTAGGGCTGATATTTTAGACTCGTTCTGTCATGCCATAACTAAACATAACACAATATTTATGGCGATGTAAACATTGTGCTCATGACAATAGTTGAAGTATTACATATTTGATAATTTACGTATATAATAAAACATGTATTATAATAAATTGCATAGGTGTAATTTACATGCATGAAAAATAAGAAAGGATATATGTATGTATTAAGCTGGTTGTGAGAGAAAAGATTACGGTATAGTATGGCATTCCAGTCTTTGTGATTGTATCACACTTAAGCTAGGAATGTTCTTATTTAGATGTCAGTGCATGTATTGAAGAAAATATTTTGCACTGAAAATTATTTAATTATTTGAGCTAAATACCTGTCATGATAAAAAAACCTATATATTGGCTTTATCAATAAAATGAGTTGAATTCACTATTTCTTTTGTGTTGTTTAATTTCAAAAGGAATAAATAATGTAGATGGAATGATATCATTATTTATGTGCCATACGGATGACGTATAAATATTGAAAACATATTTTAAGAACAGATTCACAGCCTTGATGACGATCTTCAGCATTATTTTTGACTGCGTACTAGATTTATGTGTTGGACTGACTATACCATGAGACATTTTACGTTATGCGTGCGAGTTATTTCCCTTTATTGGCAGTATCATTATCGGTTAAATTTGATAGAAGAAAAAGAGAATTGATGATAAAAGAACTTTAACGATGTCATTGAAATGATGATTTTAGTTTGCTATAATAGAAATGACAATAGAAACAACATATTGACGTTAAGCAATTAATTCCGGTACGCACAGTGAATTTGGGAAGACTGAACTGAAATCTAACGGAACCTGGGGACATCATCATTAATATGATACTTGGGTAGAAAACACATATTGCCATAGTTTTCAAGTAAGCACGTTAGGCAATCAGAATCGATCTGTCTATTGTCACAATAACTTCCTGTGCTTTGCAATGAAATGTGTAAAGAGCTGGGGTACCTATTAGTACACGACTCATGACAACAGGTGAAATACATTCGGAGTCACCGTATCTTAAGATAAACCATGTAGGTCATGTTCACGGTAGTAGTTTTTCCGTGTATGTCGATGTCGGTATTACGAAGTCAGTATACGAATTACTCTTTCTATGTGACGTTTTTAAGATTGAAAGGATACATTGAACATTGAAATATTATTTTACCATGCCTCTCGCACTTTCAAATATGACGTCACTAGTATTATCGGGTAAGTCATGGGCTGCATTTGTTATCATCAATGAAAATAGATTTGGATATGCATGTTGTCGGTATCAGAAAACTTAACATTGGTTATGCTTTCCATTACGATGTTAGATTAAATAATGAATTTTACATATAAATCGATGGTTTTGATATTGATTTTATTTCTTTCTTGTAGTTCTGATACAAGTTATGTATTGTTCAGTATATGAATGTTTCGATTTGTAGTCAAAATATTTACAAATATCTATCGAAATATTGACTTAATTAATTATCTATCCAGATCTTATTGAAGACATCAAAACCTGTTGTATCTCACTTAATGAATCCAGTGAACCATATCAAACAAATTGCAGAATAGTCATATTCTACACAAGTAATTGAGATTTAGTTTATAGATATACAAGAGTACATAGCAATATGTGTCAGCAAAATTGACAAGTAACAAATTTTCTATCACAGATGTTTCAGTTGAATTTGTGAGTAATTTCCTGAAATTCATAGACGAAAAGAAGGCTGTAGGTGCTGACGTTGTTAATGCTAAGTTGCTGAAGCTTGTTCATAATCAGGTAGCACCTTCACTGACATATATTATAAATCTTAGTATAAGGACATGTAAATTTCCTGACCAGAGGGAAATGGCCAAAGTAATTCCTTTGTATAAAAGTGGTAAGTCTACTGATTTTAATAATTATATGCCAATCTTTGTTTCACCCATTTTATCTAAGATACTGGAAAGGCATGTACTTACTTATTTTTACAACTTTTTAAATGAACACAAGCTCATTGTCTCATCACAGTTTGGTTAACAGAAAAACATTCGTGTGCAACAGCCATGTTAAATATTGTTAACTCTTGGGCCAAAAATATTGATGATGGACTTTTTCCAGGTGTAATTTTTGTAGATTTTAAGAAGGCCTTTGATATGGTTAATCATTCTGTTTTGTTAGAAAAGCTTAAATTATATGGATGTGATGAAAGTTCATTATCATGGTTTGAATCATATCTTTCAGATAGAACACAAAAAGTCTGTTTGTCTGGTACTCTGTCGGAAACATATAACGTTACACATGGTGTACCACAAGGTTCAATCTTAGGCCCGTTACTATTTTTGACATTTATAAATGTTTTATCTTTATCCGTTGATACAAATACCGAAATGTATGCTGACGATTCCAGTTTCCATTATGCCAGTAAATCCTTAGAAAATATACAGTGTTTTGCAGACAGATTTAGAAAATGTAACAAATTGATGTAATGAAAACAAAATGATACTAAATGCACATAAAACAAAATGTATGATTGTTGCTTCCAAACAGAAACTCTCCAGGACTACAGCTTGCAAACTTAGCCTTACACTTAGTGACACTGAATTAGAACAAGTAGAAAATGAAAAACTTTTAGGTGTACATCTGGATTATTGTTTATCATAGACATGCCATGTTGACAAAGCAGTGTCTAAAATTAGAAAATACTCAGATTTGTTCAGGCGTATACGTTCCTATCTTCAAATTCAAAGTAGAATGAAGTTTTACAACTCCTGTATATCCCCATGTTATTTACCGCTGTACTATATGGTCTGGATATGATGCAAATCATATGGGTAAATTATATAAAGCCCAGAAACCGGCAGCAAGAGTTATACTTGATGTGCCATATGATACACCTTCCTCTGATATGTTTTATGTTTTAGAATGGTTTCCGATTGAAAAATATTTCAAATTCAAGAGAATATGTATGTTTTACAAATGTAATCATGGATTGGTGCAATATTAATTTAGTCACAATATCAAACTTGCTAATGATGAACACAGAATATGTCTCCGTGGCAAATAATGTTATTGTTCCAAGGCACAGAACTATATTTTACTCAAAACGATTTTTTATGTTTGGTACTCAGGACTGGAATAGTCTACCCTGTTAAAAGACATTCAAATTTTAATTATTTTAGAAACCAACTAGTTCATTACTTTTGAAATTCTTAACTGTTCTTTTTAATGCATATTTTACTTTTTAATCTGCTATATTAGTATATATCCTGGTAATTTTTACTTTTTTGCTATTTTAGCATATATGTATATACGGCTTTAAGCCATTTAATTGACAAATCAAATTAGCAAAAATATGTGTTTGTGCTATCTGTGATAATCTTAATTAATACTGACTGTGTTATAATGTCTGTCACTATCATAATTTTTGTATGTATTCTAGTATCTGATTGTGATATCATGTTTTACTAACGAATGTAATATTTTACTAACTTGGGGATCATGTGGTAGATTAGCCTTTGGATAAACATGTATTATCCTCTTTAAATAGAGTATATTTTTATTATTACCGAAAATGTAATCGTGTAAAAACGTTTAAAATATATCATCGTAATCTTTCTTATCAGCAACATTTAAAAAAAACTCAGTCACAAAATAGGAAAAATCATCAAACATTAACATAAACAACCATCAAAAAGTCGTCATCGTAATCATAGCACTAACCTGATGTAGTTAGTATATAGAACCTATTATCCGAATAGGAATTTGAGGGACTTTAGAAAACGCCAACAAGTGCGAACAAATGTTTCAATTCAGAGTTTGATATTCAATGAGTAAATCCAGCGCAGGTAATGCTTATATAAGATTTAGAGCGCTGATGAGAGAGATGGTGTCCATTTCGCATGTTTCGATTGCCAACAGAATGGTATTCAATGTTGGTCTGGGATTGGTCTCGTTAAGAAAGGTATTCAACATGGCATTAATCTTCATATAAGTTTTCTTAGTTTTGAACTTATCATCAAACTCGTCAATGGTCTTTGGCAGGAATCCAACCTCAAGAAAAAAATTAACATATGATTTGACCTCCAAATATTCTGCAACTATAGGAATGTCTTGGAGAGACACGGCATTATGTAGCACGCTGTCCGCCAGTCTTTCATCTGAAAGGAACCAAAATAGAGAGAATGGACATAGTAATGACCTGGTTTATGATCATAATTATAATGAACTAACCTTACCGTCGAGGCTCGGAGGGACGAAAGAGTCGTACGATGCTCTTTTACTCATTAGACGGCTCTACTGTGGTAAACATTTTAAATTGTAATTGAAAACTTTTCTTTTTTTTTGTGTCTTCTATACATTACCGCCATTGTATAACATAGTACTATAACGAAATTAAACGCTTATTTTAAACGTTACACTGACACTGATAACATTGACGTTTTCGATTCTGTTGATATACTGCAAGAAAGTATTGCGGGATTTTATCTCTTCATGATTATGCAAGAAAATGGCCATACGTTATATGTATGTGGTAGTCACAAATGACTGAATGTACCTAATACTCGCTGATAATTACTTACCATAGCATTACAGAGAAATGAATAAAAAAATGAAAATTAAATATGTTACCTCTGAAAATGACATCACTGTTACAGTCGATAATATTATGCAGACTCGAGGGATCCATTCCATGTTTCTGCATTGCATTAGCTACGTCTATAAATGTAATATCCTCTTCTGTTTTAAGCAATCGAAGAAAAATCTTCGTGATACGGGATCTAAATGAAAGGTGGCGATATTCTTCCATCTCCTGCTCTATAACGATACATGGGCAGTTAAGTTCGACAAAAAAGAGTTGGTAGGAAAACCCAATGTATTTAGAAACTCTACCAATCTCTTTTGGAGTCGGTACTCTATCTGGGAGATCTTTCGTCTTCTCTGCAAAACAAAACAATTTCGTCAACACACTGAGCTACAGTTTTATGCATTTTTACGGTATTTATATACAGAGCAAATTTAGAAACCTAGCAGTATCAGTATGTTTCACGTGGTACCATTTTGTTGCCCAGAGCAAGATCCCTGATAATCATGGTTTCTTCTTTTCTTCTTCAATTTGTCTCTAGCATCGTCTTTTGTCAGGGTTTCCTTGACATGTTGCTCCTGCCTGATATCTTCTCCCTTACCTGTGAAAATATCACCATGAGGTTAAGTATATGAGTTGTCGCAAATAAAAGTAAACATCATTTAAAGTAATAGTTTCTCTTTAAAACAAACAAAATTTCATGACTGTGTGATTTCCAAAATTGAATTATCTTGCATTATTGAAAAGTCAAAAAGGTTTAAAATGTGTATGATACAATTTGAATTCGCTGTTGTTTATATAAAGTTTGTATCATTACATATATCACAAATGTGACGGGTACTTGAATTTTGCCTATCATTCTTTGTTCAAATATCGTCAGCTGATAAACGAATGATATGAGTATTATCACCTGTCCTTGTTGTTACCTGAACATCCTACGTTATTTACAATCACTTTGGTATGATCACCTATGATTACAGGACCCGTATGTTGAAAAATCAGCTGCTGCTTCTTTCCTATAAAATAATATACGATGTGATATTCATTTACACCCTGTTTAATTATATATTTTCAATATTAAATTACTCAAAATACTTAGTCATCATTATAATTAATTTTGGGGTAATGCAACATCCAGCCTGTTGAAGACATTGATGTCGACCAATTCTTATGTTCCTGTCATCATGGTAGTCCAATACATTGGTCAGTTGGGTTAATGCCTGATGACCTTGCAGGCCATAGGAGCGTCTATATCACTTCTTATTAAGATAGTATTATCCTGCACGAGTCGGGTTCTGTGTGGTTTGACATTGTCATCCATTAGGATAGGCAGATCACAGGTTAAGGTACTTCTCTTCGCCAAGACCTTATATGTCATGTTCGGTTATCATGTGCCTTTTGCAGTGTTGCGATGACCGAAGTCGCCTTTTGTTCAAACTTATGTTGCCGGTACATCGGCTAGCGCGAATGTTTACGTCACTTGCCTGTATCTCCTATTACCTTGAACCATTCCAGAATCTTAATATCAATTTTCCACGTGCTATTTTCAAATACAATATGTGCTCGAGTAGGGTTAGCCAGTAACACACTGCAGTAGGTGGGAAAACAAACTCGTGTTTTGTTAAATTACGGTATATCCAAGTTTCATCCGGGGTTTTCGTTAAGTTTGGGTATAGCCTGGCGACATACAACACCAATACAAAAGGAGACACTGCGAAGTGTTGGAAAAGTTATTTACAAAAGGAAAAGCTAGTTTTAAAATCATTGCAGCCAAGTGTATATAATAAATGAACTTTGTCAGTCTATAGGTCCCTTACCGGTATTTCGAAGATAAGCAAAAAATGATTTATTTCAAGATTAGGTCTATGCTATCAAATTTACACGACGTGCGATGTGCGCTCGATGTCTGCATGATGTGCGCAAGATGTATGTACTACGCGCGTTGTTGTGCGATTCTATCGTGATTGATATAAATTTAGAAATTACTTATAAATAAGTGTGTAATAGGGTTTTGTATTTTCTAAATGTATTAGAATACAACACTTGTAGATATATCAGATAAAAACTAAATAGTAAGATCCACTCTTATTTTCAAATATTTTGTTTACAAACAGCCACACGTGACCAGCTTTAGTATACGGCCACACATTATATACACAATTTATGTAAACATTAAATTGACGTCTCATTATGTCACAGCAATGAATCATTTAACATCTCATACCGTCTGAAAGGAAATTGTATTTTCATTACTTCTGTATTAATTTCATTCAAAAATATATGCTCAGGTGGTTCGTAAGTGTTGTGTTTGTTACATGGATGACCCAGCTGGTACGGATCCGGACGTGCATACCCGTATACTGATAAACTTTTGATGCCCGAGGCACCACCACTCACCACTTTCTGAGGTGTGAAACTATATACGATAAGACTGATTAATGCAGGTCCAGCGTTATTTCGAAAGATGTCAATTACAAAATATGTCTCTTATGATCATCGATCAATCATTTTGTTCATGTGTTCGCTATTTAGTAATAACTTTACGAATTTTCCGTTTAATTTTTAATCCGTGATGTTACCATTTATACCAAACCGCACAAAATGTGCGATCCTAACGTTATATCCATATTTGATGCAATATTTTTCTTGTTTAAATAACATATATTGTAGAGTAAGGAAATAACTGGAGAATGCAGACTTAAAGAAACCGTCCTATATTGTGTACAGTTTTCGCGCGCATCAGAATTGGCTACGCAGGCATGATACTATCATACCGTCTTATACTGACACAATATCAAAGACAAAGTCTCCAAATGGCCTTCGATTTTTCAAAGACGTAGGTCTCGTTAGCAAAGAGACGAAGTGCATTATTCAGATACTACTATCGGTTAGTGTATGAACAACGGACAAAACATTATTTTCATAACTAACTATGAGAAGTGGAAATACCTAACCTTTAATCATCACCATGTTTTCGGATATAGCAGAACCTTCTGTCAAATTCAACTTTTCGAGTTCCAACTCATTTGAACCTGCCTTCTGGCCAGCTTCTGAAATATAGAATATTAAATGAAATGACTAGAAGGTAATCTCTCTCCCCAATGAGAACAAGAGATGTATGGACAATTTCTTTGATTATAAAGTTAGTTCACATGTTACTCGACCGATCCTGCAAACAATTAAACATTGTTTAAAGATTTCCGTTAATATACATTCATAAATAGAAACTGTTCATATTTGTGTAATGAAATAACCAATATTGTATGCATTGCACATGTTCTATCATATAATTACTTAATACAACGATCTGTTACCACTCTCGACCAAGTATCATTTTAATTGATAGACATAAATGAGGATATGACATCTATACAGAGTCAAGATTTCACAATAGATTGTTATTAAAACTTAACGGAAGACACTGTTTAAAGGATAGAATAATGCGTTTTTATTTTAATAATACAATCTGTACAAAGGTTTATAATTTTTAGGCAAAGTGGGATTTATTTTCAATTCCTTGAGATACAAAGTGGGATTTATTTTCAATTCTTAGAGATATTTGTTGTCGGAGAGTGTTTTATTTATGCAATAATTCTGTTCGAGAGGGCAAAAACAGAACATATAGAAGCCTGATTAATTAATGTTATTGAATGTCCCCCTATATCCCAGGACAAAGTTTGTCTATGACTTTAGCTTTAGTAAAACCGTAAATTCAGGAACAAAATAACGATTAGAAGTATCCAGATGTACTGGTCATATGTGTCTCAGCATATGAACTATCTTTGATATCTAGATTTAAGATGATTCGCCTAATGTACCGCCAACTGCAGGTTTCATTGTACAAACGGATATAGCGACATCGTCTGCCATAATCAACTTGTCACTATCCTTTTCATCAGGCCCTTTCATGTGCTCATCGTCTGAAAAAGAACACTTTTATATAACTACGTATTCAGGTTTATAAATTTAAGTGAAAATAGTGTATCGAAGGAGAAATAGAGTAGAGACACGGGAACTAATCAACATTTAATCTAACATCGAACACGTCAAGCTTTATGATACATACAACATCCTGCACGTCTTGAATTTATGTCTGATATTTCATTTCCATCAACTTCTATTGCAAAATCTTACAATGAGGAATATGAATTTAAATGTGATTCAAACTGGAAAGTTACCAGAATGTAGTTACTTCGGAAAACTGCGATAGATAAGTGCATAAAAGATTTTCTAAACTTACAAACCCAAAATATATAAGATTTTGATATTCAAGTAAATTCAAGCAAACATTCGTCATAGAAAAGATAGGGCAAGTAAACTTCATTGTGCCGGGCTTCATAAAAATATGTTCATGTTTGCTTCGAAAAGACTTCGATTTATCATAGCGGAGATGGGGTGAAATAACGAACACGTGTAAGATTGAATCAAATAAGTGTCTGTATAGAGAATATATGTAGAGCCTGTTTATATATAGAACCTGAAATGTCTTTTTTATATTACATATTATGCAATATGTCTTTTGTACGAGCTTTGTAACATCATAAAACATTTATAACATCTCGATTAATCGTACAGACAACATAAAACTCTTTCAAATAAATGTGAACATTTCTTCAAATAGATATTTCTGTTTTAAAATCATGATGCTGTCCCTGACATGAAATATTTTTGTTAATCTTTTTGTCCCCTACAAATCGATATTTTAGTTACAGACTTCGATTAAGTCAGCAGCTCCAACTTTTATCAAAAAAATACTTGTGTCTGAAATAAAAAAAAGTTTAGTAACGGAGCACTATCATATCAAGCTTATATTACTGATATTGTGTGACACTATCAAAAAGGAAAGAATGATTTTTCCAACAACCGTGATTTGAAATGTCCTTCGTCATTTTCTATAATTTGCACCTATGTTTCAAACAACCCAATATTCGAAGTAAAGATTATGAAATGTGTTCAAAACTCCAAATCTAGAGGATTAATTAATTGTTTGGCTTTCAAAACTTCAAAATGACATGTGTGAAAATTGCTGAATATATACAATACTGACGATTTTTGGTTTTTCACTATTGGACTTTTTGACAAGTGCTGCTGCATTTTATGAGTAAGTTATTAAATATGGTGTATATGTAATGGAAATTGAAGTATAAGAGTTATGTCCCTTGAATATGACTTGTGTAATGGAAATTGAAGTATAAGAATTATTGTCCCTTGAATATGACTTGTTGCTAATTACATATTGGTTAATTTGTTCATCTAATGAATTTTGTCGATTAATACAAATGTTTATAATTCTGTAGTAAGGTAAATGAAAGAGTTTATTATACATGTAAATAGAAATTACTTTGAATGATTAAAAACACTGTTATACTGACTGTTGGTGAAGCTTTCAGAGATACACAGACGACGAAAGACTTCTTACAGAGTTGTAACACAGTTATCTGTAACAGGTGGTGGGTAAAAGTCTGAAACAGTGGCTTTTCCGAAACCGCCTGTCAAGCTGGTGCGAGGGCTGTTTAGTTCTCACCGAAGCTTGGACTTTTGACTGTGGGTAGCTAGCTATAGGGTTAGGTTAGAACCCGAGCTTGGGACACGAGCAAGGGTTGACTTAGTTGGTAGGACAACCTAGTGCTTAGTCAGGACAGACTAAGTGGTATTGCTCGGCGACTAGTTCAGTAGTTGGAACTAGGGTTAGGTGAAGTCACTGGGTGTCGAGCTTGCACTCACGCTCACATACTAGTCAGAACAGTCTGTGTTGGGACAGCAGTCCATGTGAATACTAGTTAGTTCGTTAGTTTTATTGTTAACTCAGGTAGAGTTTGCTGTTCCACGCTATATGTATATATCGGCATTTGTTAGCTAGTATCTCTGCAAGGAATCAGAGACTTACCCACCGTGTGCAAAGCTAGGCTGCACGTTACATATACTCGCTGTCTTTCAATTCAGTAAAATTAGATAAAGTAGAACTTTTATAAATACAGTGATAATAATGATATTTATAGTTTCTACTTACCAGTTTGAAGATAAACATTTATAAAAATAATCACCAGAGAAAATATACCAATGGATGTAGAAAAGTGTTGTGAACGAGTTCCTTGAACTTGACCAATTTTGCTTAAAATATATCTGGACGCCATTTAACTGCAAGTTTTTAACTTTGGAGGTGTGTACGTCGTTTTCAGTATAAAGAGTCGACAACATTTCAATTTTATTAAACGATGTTTGGTGAATGGCCGTAAATGATATATATGATTAGGTGATAGTTGTATTATATTCCCGAATTAGGAAAATAGTACCAAGCCAAAATGACTTGATTAATCAAGATTAACACAAAGTTAATTACCGGATGACCATGTCGCGTCTACCAACCTTCACTTAAATTGTCTTACCCTACCGCAATCTATAGTAAAGCATACATTTATGGCATATCTAGTAGTGATGTGGTATGACAATATATTCTAAAATATCATGTACGTTAACAGCACAGCTGACCACATAAAAGCGTGAATCGCCCTATTATAGGCTTATTTTGTTGTCTACAGGACGAGTTCCTCACACATACCATACATTCCTACAAAACATGATGAATGATTTTTTTGTTGTGTTCAGTTTTATTTAGTTTTTTTTAAACCTCTCTATACTTTAATAACGATATGAGTATTGTTAAATATGTTTTTTTTTACTTTTCTAAATGGAGTGTTTTCTCTGCGCTGAAGCACTGAAGTGAGGTACACTGAAGAACAAGCGCAAGGTGTTAGACCCGATAGAGCATGATTACATTTGTTTCCTTTCCTAAAGGGGTCAGAATGTAAAAACCAGCAATTCAATGACAATTAAAGAAAGGTTGTATGAAAAACATATGCAAAAGACCCATTAATTATTTCAAAAATAGAGCTTCGAATTTTTATCTTCACGAGGCTCTGCTGGCAATTAAACATTACTAGTAATCCCTGAAAAAAAACTTGATATTGTCACGTGATCATTGATGTGATCTGCTCGACTTGCTTCATAATAAACCAAGTATGTGGCTGTGTACAAAATACGCTAACAACACAACTTGCGATAAATGAGAGTAAATTGCTTGCGTTTAGTTTTATTTCATTATCCAGTTCATTATTTTACTCGCAGGATAAAGTAACAGTTGGTTTAAGCACCAGAGTGATGACAGGTTATATTCACTACTATGTTAGAAAATGATCTCTTGTCTAATTCTTAGTAAGCTAATAACGAAAGTACAAAGTCCAAAAAATCATAAAGGAAGCAATTTCTGTCCCACGAGAAATATAACGTTCTTCCGTATTCCGAAACCAACAATGTGCGGTCGATACCTTAATTAGATACATGATAACTACCAAATTAATGTTCATTTGTCCTTTGTTTCTGAAGTCTGACCAGTGACATTAGATTTTCACTATAATGCCTTACAAAGAATCTATGAGATGCTGAGAAAGTTGAATAGTTTTTTTTTCTGAAAAGGTTAATATAGTTTTGTACGTACCCATATAAGGTTCTCACTTACCAGGGAAATTTGGTTTCCACTCCATAAATTAAGTACAGGTGTCTAAGATATTCACGGATAAACCAGATTTGTGCAATTAGGTATTCCGTCACATGTACAATTTCCGGAAGTATGTTAACACACATGTGCTGTACGAGTGTGTTCAGTATATGTTAATGTCTTTAAGGCACATAACTGTCGCAACACTTAATTTTTATTATGATCTATTTATCGTAATTTTTAATGGTTATACAAAAATCCCACATACATTGTAGATATGCGTACACATTTTGCATACCGCATATGTCTATGTGGGACGTATTTTGTTGTATGACCTAGTTATGAGGATCGCTGATACATGCACTAGTATATAACCCTGTGTGTACACACAGATGTGTATAGTTGTGTAAAGTTAGAAACAACGTAATAAGTACACAGAACGGCCAGAAATGTAAAAAAAAAAAATAACAATTAAACAAACATCTAAGAAAGAATGGAGAAAAGTAATATGTACATGAATCAAATAGATAATTTCACGGTAATGCCAGTGTTAAATGTGACGCCTTACTCTAAGACAGGTGTATATGTCAGATACAGCTCTCAGGATACCTTACTCTATGATCGGTGTATATATCAGATATAGCGGCCAGGACACCCTAACCGATGACAAGAGTAGAAGTCATATAGAGCTGTCAGGACACCTTACTCTTGATCGAAGGTGAAATCGTGCCACAATTTCGAATGTATTAGGGAACTTTACGTATTTGTAAATCATTCTATCTAACAAAATCATGTGCATTTGCCTATGTCTTTTTAACATTAATTTTGACCAGCATGGAAACTCCTTGGTTGTCCTTTGATTTCAACAATTTAGAACTTTAGCAACACTGCAAGTCCTAGAAAGACGAAATAGCTGTATGATGTAGCGTTTCTGACGGGTCCTAGACGGACGAAACATCTGTATAATGTAGCGTTTCTGACGGGTCCTAGACGGACGAAACAGCTGTATAATGTAGCATCACTAACGTGCCCTGCAAGGTCGAAAAACCTATATGATGTAAAAGGACGAATCAGCTGTATGATGTAACATTACTGGCGAGTCCTAAAAGGACGAAACAGCTGTATGATGTAACATTACTGACGAGTCATAAAAGGACGAAACAGCTGTATGATGTTGCATTAGTGACAAGTCCTTGAAAGGACGAAACAACTGTATGATGTAGCATTACTGACGAGTCCTAGAAAGACGGAACAGCTGTATGATGTAACATTTAGGGCGTGTCCTAGAGTAACAACAGAACTGTGTGATGTAGCATCATTGACGTTTCCTAGAAGTACATAAACGTTGTATGATGTAGCATACTGTAAATACATGTTAAGGTGGGGTCAACATATATGGGAATTTAACATT